TTTCTTTTTTTCTTTTTTTTTCTTTTTTATTCTGGGCCAGCTTTAGCTCTGAGGCTTGCTCCAGCTCTTAGGCCTCGGCTGCTGAAAGCAGGTATCTGGTTTGTTTGGGTTCTATAATCGAAACACTGTTTCAACTCCAGCTCTGAGATCCCGGCTGGCTGAAAGCAGGTTTCTGGGGTTTTGTTTAGCTTCTATATTTGTAACAATGTTTCAAACTGCAAGCTCAGAGGCCGGCAAGGCAGGCGGGGAATGTTGGAGTCCTCCGTCACTGAAGCAAGCAAGCCTCCTGTTAGCTTCAAGCTGCCTGGCTGCTGGCCGCCATCTTGGCTGGCAGTTAATTTGCATATCCCCCTGATTAGCCAATGGGAAGGGTAGCGGAGTGACACCAATTTGCATGTTTCTCTTTTATTAGTGTAGACTAGAGGCCCAGTGCACGAAATTTGTGCACAGGTACAGTCCCTAGCGGATGCTGGCTGCTGGCTGCCGGCTGGTGCCTTCCTTCATTCCACACCGCCCCCTGGTGGTCAGCGCACATCACAGCGAGCAATCAAACTCCCAGTCAGTCGAACTCCCAAGGGCACACTTTGCATACTAGGCTTTTATATATAGAGAGATAGATGATATATACACAGCCCTGCAGTTTTAAAAATTAGATTCACATTAGGACTATAATACAATGTCCTTAGAACCTGTAGTTATTTCTACTAGACTCTTACATACAGCCACTCTATTATCTATCTACCAGGGGCCCAGTGCACGAATTTGTGCACGTTGAAACTGTGGGCTGCGAGGCTGCGGTGGACCAGCCCCTGGTCCCCTGTCTGCCGGCAGCCCCGCTCCTGTTGCCGCTGCCCCCACATTTTCTGATGGCGCAGAGCGATTGGGGCTAGCGCCAGCAGTGGGTGAGAGCGGGGCCGGCACAATCAGCGGATACAAGTGGTGGCTGCTGCTCTGATCATCCCTCAGGAGCAGGGGGGACGTGGAGAAGCCCTCAGGGGCAACTGGGGCTGGCAGCCACCGCTCGCACCCTCTGACGGCGCTGGGCACCGGCAGCGGGTGCAAGCGGTGGCTCTGGCACCAACTGCAGGTGCAAGTGGGGCCAGCACTGGCAGTGGGTGCAAGCGGTAGCTCCAGTGCCAGCAGTGGGTGCAAATGGGGCCAGCGCCAATAGCAGGGGTGAGCACCAGGCAGGACTGCAGAGCATGAGAGCAAAGAATTTTCAGTAACCACCAGAGGCTCGCCCCAATGACAGCGACTGCCACCCCGCCTTGGTCTGATGCCCCCGCTCACCTGCTCCACCATCCCACTGCAGCTGACACCCACCATGTTCCACGCTCTGCCGCCTGCTGCCGATGCGGGCCATGTTCCGCGCACGCCCCGTGGTGGTCAGCTCACATCATAGCGACCGGTTGTTTGGTTGTTCTGCCATTCAGTCTATTTGCATATTAGGGTTTTATATATATAGTTATAAAAGACTAATATGCTAAATGTCCTTCCCACCTTCTGACTGGTCACTATGACGCACACTGACCATCAGGGGGCAGACGCTCAATGCAGGAACTGCCATGATGCGCACAGAGAAACGGCACCATGGATCTGGCGCTCAGAAAGCAATACTGGGCTTCTCCCAAGTGGGACACAGGCTCCGCCACCATCCCGGAGCAACAGCCCATCAAATTGCAACCGATGCTGCCAAGACCCCATGGCACAAAATGCAGCCCATAGCCAAGCCCAGCCCGGAAACAGTCGCTGTGGGTGCCAGGTAATGACATCATGTAGCAATGCCCGGCTTCCTTTCCCTAGCAACTAGCCTCCTTGGAGTTCCAGGAACATAGGTGGAACCCTTTTACACTTTAACCAAATGTCTGTGAAGTGTTTTCCTGTGCCTCATCTCATTTGATCCTCACAGAAGTCCTGGATTAGGTAGTAGGAGACTTGGTGGAATCCTATTTTCTTTTCATTAGCCGGAAAATAGAGATTTAGAAACTTGACCCAACTGAAAAGAAGTAAGAAATGATGAACCTTGAAAATGACTTCGGATTTTCTCACTATGCAGAATATAGTCAAACAGTGCTGCAGTTAAATATTTTACCGTTTGTTCTCCCTGCATGATCTACAATAATAATCTGCTTCGTATTGATATTTACTGCTGTGTTGCTGACAATTACCTGAAAAAGAAGTTGGGATGCTTCACTGGGCTGGAAAAAGTTTAGCTAAATCAGAAAGCAGGTCTAATTAAGCAAGTTTATTCTATATCTATAAAAGGCTAAGTTGACTCGCACATCCGCCATACATATAAAACTCTCGCGCCAATCGCATGTGTGTGTTTCCATCTGTCATTGTCGATCATGAATTTGGTTGACACTTCTATTATAGAGAAGTGGTGAATAGTGATATTGAAATATCACTTCTAATTAATTTCCTTTCAATGTGCACAAATTCATCCACCGGGCCACTAGTAAAATAATAAATGCTCTTTAAATAAAGATGCTGTTGCTCCCACAAAGAGGCCCAGCCAGAAAGCAGCTCATTCTGTCTCACAACCAAACCAACCAGATACTCACTGGTTATCTGCCCCACCCCTCACCCCAGGTATGATAAGAGTGTCCAGTTCTTACTCTTTGACCTGCCCAGGAGCCCTAATAGGCTACTGCCAACAGTCAGGGACATTTTTACAGTGAAGGCAGCCAAACCTTTCAATGTGCCTCTGGGATCCTGCTGAATACTGTTGGAACCACCCAAATCTCCTCCAATTCCCTAACTGGTTCTGTGGACCCATTTCTCAGCTTCTATACTATTTGTCCTTGTGGCTCACACCTTCTGGAAACCTCCATCAGAGAACTACTTTTTGGTTTTGGAGCTGCTTCAGCCAGATACTGAAAGCCTGAAATCCAGGCAGCTGACATGTTCCTAGAGTAAACCTTAGCCAATAAGTGACTATTGCAAGAGGGTGAGAATCCAGTGCATGAGGAGGGAAACACTTTCCTCCAGATATCCGGGGGATCAGGCAAGGCTGAGACTTAACCTGCAACTGTCCCCTTGCTTTGGGAGAGGGACAGGATAAGGTCAGTGGGGTAAGGAATTAGAGACCACATGGGTAGTCCTTTAGCTTATACTAGAAGTGTGACAGAAAGCAATAATAGATTTTAAGGAGGGAAGAGGTGTGATTTATGTTCTGGAACAATCATTCAGAGCTGGATGGAGATTAGCTTGTAGATATCAACACAGAAGCATGGGACCCAGGGAGAAGCTTTCTGTGGTGACTGAGCAGGGACACTATCTAGCACAGTGGTTCTCAACCTTCCTAATACCAAGACCCTTTAATACAGTTCCTCATGTTGTGGTGACCCCCAACCATAAAATTATTTTCATTGCTACTTCATAACTGTAATTTTCCTACTGTTATGAATCATATTGTAAATATCTGATATGCAGGATGTATTTTCATTGTTACAAATTGAACATAATTAAAGCATAGTGATTAATCACAGAAACAATATGTAATTATATATGTGTTTTCCGATGGTCTTAGGCGACCCCTGTGAAAGGGTCGTTTGACCCCCAAAGGGTCGCGACCCACAGGTTGAGAACCGCTGATCTAGCACATGAGCATAGCAGTGAGAACCTACAGATTGTTAACATAGGAGTATTGCTATGGGGTCCAAGATAGCTGGGTAACCAGTTAAATTTGGATTTTCCATAAACAACAAATAGTTTTTGGTATAAGTGATTCCAGGATGGTTGGCTCACATGGTTTTCCCTTTTACTCTAACTCAGTGGTCGACAAACTCATTAGTCAACAGAGCCAAATATCAACAGTACAAGGACTGAAATTTCTTTTGAGAGCCAAATTTTTTAAACTTAAACTGTATAGGTAGGTACACTGTTATTAACTTAATTAGGGTACTCCTAAACTGGCCTTTGCTAAAAATGTCCTCAGTCTGATTGAGGTACGTTCGCTGAGGTTGACCCCTTCCAACTCTCCCATCCACATTCGTCTTGTATACTTATTTCCTCTATCTCCTTTCGTGCATCCTCTCTATATGTCCAAACCATCTCAACATATCTTTCTCAATCCTCGACACTACATCTTCTTTCACTCCACAACGTTCCCTAAAATTAACTTAATAAACTTTACTTAAAGTTTTAAGTCTTAGTTAAACTATAGGTACATTGAATAAAACTTGATAT